TCATTTTTTAGGAAAAAATATGCATTTTCCCTTTTACAAAATCTATATTGTCAGTGTGTTTATCTTTTATTGGCGTCAACTATTTTTAGAGATTGAGGCTTAATTCGTTTGCAGTATATTTGCATTACCGTGTATTTAGATCACAAAAATCTCAGATGTAGTTGCTGAATGAAAGCGACACTAGTATCAGTGATGTTGACTGGCCATCTGTAAGGATACATTGATCTGGCAAGTGTCAAAACGACTGACGTCAGTAGAGATGATAAACATGTTGTCGCCGTATATTTAAGACATTTGATATTGACCCCAGTTTGTAAAACAATGATGAGTATTTGGACATCTGTTGGAATGATGTATAGGTTTAATAAAGCATACTTTTGAAGAATACACCAATCCTGTACGAGATTTAAAACTGATTCTAAGATGTCCTCATTATCATGATTTCCTCGTACGGTCAATATGATGTATTATCAACATATCAGCTGTCAATATACATCGTAAACATTATTTGAAAACAGAAATAGCCATAGAATAAGTGTCTCACTCATTACAAACCTCAAGGATGTCCTAGTTTAACATCGGAACATTGGAGGAAACATTTACCATGTTTCCAGTACGTTAAATCAAAGACATATATTCCAAACATTTTGCATGTGAAGATGAGTTCATTTGTTAGACGCTACAGTGCTTACTTCAAATATTTTGTGTGGTGTGTTATGTTAACGAGGTTGAGATAACATCTGGAAAGAAATTATCCCTTGTGAATGAAAGTCAAAGAGAAATAATTCGCAAGCTGTCGTAAAAACTATGAACATTTCAACCATCACAAAATACTTCTTTAAAAGAATTTTTTGTTTCGTTTTGAAGATACTTTACTGGTTTTCCTCTATAACTTTAATAACTCTAATACATCTTTTTTTTCAACAAAACGATGAAATAATAAAATAAACAGACAATATAACAATGCTGACTATTAAACATCACAATGACATAATTGAAACGTGATTAACTATAACTTTGGTATAGAAACGTACGTGTTTCTTAAAAGATTATAAAATTCATTTCGACAAACATTTTAAGCTATTTACTCATTTCTGTATGAGATACCTATGTATACATAGTTTGTGTTGCATTGCTTTCAAGGGAAAGGCATGATAAGTTACTTTGTGTCCCATCATATACTGGTTCATAGACACGACCTTGACTTTAATTCATGGCATCTAGTCTAGTGAGTTGTCCCATGTAGTGTTTGTCGCATTTGGTTAGTTGATCTTTTTGTTTACAAACTTTTATTGATTTATTGTGAAATAGCTGAAATTAAAGCAAAGATGCGGGCATCTTGATATCTTATTGTGTAAGTAATTTATTGTTATACGTTTTGGTTTACTATTTGTGTCGTGATTTGATTTCAGGTATGTATGATGTTATTTGAAGCTTCTAATTTTTTTTATTTACGTAATCATTTTTAATCACATTTCGTGTTTGTTGTGTTGACGTTTGCTTACAATTAAATTATATCGACGTGATATGTTCAATGATAATTTATTAAGATGATATTCTATGCAGGATTATTTGATTTTGTTATAAAATACGAAATGTAACTTTAAGAATAAATGTTGAATAAACAGTTTAAATATTAACAACCTTTTTGTGTGTTAATGAAACGACCAATTCTTCATGTTCCCTGTTAAACATTGGTTATAGATGCTATTTTCGTGTACAACAATTACCTTTTGTGAAATATATCTGATCTTATAACTTATAAATTGAATATGACATTTTGCATATTTGAATCAACCACCCTGCGTGTGAATGGACCAACTTTCGTCAAAACTGTTATCACCAAACAGGAAATTTAATGTTTAAGAATTTGGAAATTCAAGTAACACCATGTGATGTGATGGTCAACAGGATACATCTATACAGAATACACATGTGTTACTGGTGACTAAAAAAACTCGGTCATGTGATGTCATATAGAAAGATTCATGTCCTGGTGCAAGTTGTAGTTAAACGGTAGAAATTGTGTTAAATTCCAACACGGTGTAGGACGTCATTTAAATTAGCTTCCAATGAATCCAATGGTAAGGATTTATATACTGGAATAGTACGTATTATGCCCCTGGATGTGCTATCCGTTTGTGGTCTGACTGTTTGCTTGTTTGTTTGTTTGTCTATCGTAAACTTTAACCTTGCTCATAACCACTGTGCCGTGTGACCTTGACCGTGACCTTAGACCTATAGTTTAAAATTTTTAATATTGTCATAATTATTGCATCAGAAGAGGTAGGGCTTTAATATTTGGCATGTGTGTTCCTTATGACAAGACCTTTCCGTCCGGTGGTACCATAATACTTTCTCCTTCTCAGTTCATGAATGAATACTACTACACTAAATTACCTTAGATAGGCCGACACGCTTTATTAAGGAGCTGTACCTTTACCTACATTTTAAATGTAGAAAGATAAGTGAGAGTCAACTACACAGGGACTTAGCCGATTATTCTTATTTGTGAGAGACACGTTCATGCTACTGTTGTTGATTTAAGTGACGAAAAAATCATTCATCGGACAAGATCCAACAAACGACTCTGGCAAAATACTGACAAATTAATGCTAGTGGATAAAGTCGAAGTTACGACGTTTCCTGAAAAGGCCCGATAGACATGTATGGCTTCGATTTTACCACACGTTAAGGTGATGATAATGATAATACTTAGTATTGACTCCTCTTAAAATTCTGATGGGAAAATCCTTGCTTTCAGTGTATGTCATTGTCATCTGCATTCAAATTAATTACTAATCAATCATTTATAAGATATCCCTTCAACCTGAATGAATGTCTTATCAGTGGAAAAACTGTGTTGTTTGTTTCAGTTATGCTCAAAGACTCACTCAAAATGTCTTGGCTGAAGTGACTCCAGTTCAATACATGTAATCTACAAAAAAGGAAACCTAATGATGTTATTTTGAATTTTCACAACAGCTTTCCAAGTTTCAATACTTCAGGTCCACTGTATCACTGACGAATCCCAGTAGTTCGAAATAACTATACGGTGAAGTTGAAATTCTTGAGTTGCATTGAAAGATTTTAATTACTTATGTATCGGGTTCCAAGGATTTAGCAAAGTCGTTAGATTTTACTGAAGATGGATAATAGGTATACATACAAAATAAAGAAGGTCAGTGCCTTGTCTGATAAATACGAGGCTGTATCTATATCTCGGCTTCGCTTGAAAAAATATTTATATTAACTTAACAGGAATCTGAACATAATGATAAAATATTGGTATTCCTAGTTGACAATGAAGACCTGCGATTATCTTTTGACGGATATTATATAAACATGTCTGTTTTTATATTTTAATGGCAATGAGTTTGTAAAAGAGGGTCTTACATTCAGCATGAACACATTTAATTGGCTCAGATCTTGTGTGTACGTACTTTGTTTGACCAAGATGTATATGGTGAGTGTCTTCGATAAAGCAGAAGACATATACTTGATCTCATTCTCCTTGTCCATTTTACAGGAGTCTCCGTGTGAATCTAATCATATGTAAATGCTCTTCCCGGAAAAGAATATCTACACTTAATTATTTACAAATAAACTTTCTCGGAAAGAGAATATTTATATAATCAATTAATTATAGATTTTCCTTCTTACAAAGAACATTTATATAATATCAATTATACAGATATTTCTAGCCCCAGAAATTGTATTAATATATACTTAATTTGTTACATATTTTCTTTACAAAAAGTTTAAAATATACATGTTATTATCAGTTCTGTATACATTTACATTACGATAAATTTACTTGTAGATTATTAAAAGGTTTTACATAATTGCTTCTGTGATTATATTGTCTTCCAAACGTTATGCAGGAAAAACGAACATTTAAACGAGTTGTCTTTTCTTTGCACTTTCATTTTATTATAGTTTTGATGGAAAATCATTATAGGTCGACCTTTAACCTGAAAACAATACGGCTTCATCTTTTCTTTATCCATTTTCCAGTTTGTAACATTCTGAATAAGAAGAATAAATTTTGTCACTTCTTGAAAACCTGCTTAGGAATTAACATCATATTACATTTACTACGTCAAAACAGAACAAAAGCAGGTTAGAACATTTTAGATCGCACCAAAGCAGAAAACTTGAAACCCAATGACTAAGGGGGGACAACATAATTTACAATCCATGTAATCAGAGACTCTTTAGACCTCAGATGTCTTGGACAGTCATAAATAACACAGACATATCTATTTATTATATAAATCATCCTATGTACTAGGGACATTGCTTGGTACCTTATAAACCAGCTGTCATTAATACTGCAGACTCTACCCACTATGTAATACGACATCAACAAAATGAAACTCTGATAACCACACAATGGTTTCATCATACTGTTTAGCAGAAAAAATTAAGCTGAAAATCGATTTGATTTATAAGCGTAATAGTCGTGACAATCCGCAGCGCAAGTGTCTGCTAAGTAGATTGTGAAAGTGGCCTAGTATATTTCTCTCTTGGTGATCAAGCGCATAGAAGGTAATGAATACATATTTATATGTTTCTCAGATAGTTCTGTTTACTACGCAGCAGAAAAAATAAAACCAGATGGACATTTCTAGGATTTTTTGTTTGTTCGTCATTGGAGATAATGACAACACGAGGACGATTCTCGGATATTTTTATCTGCATATCTATTTACTAATTCATTGCCATTTTTTGCAGGTTAATCACATATAACTAATTACTGACGGTCCTTTACAGTACCATCAAATCCTACATGTACGTAAGTACATTATTTAGCAGTAAAGGTGCTCTAGAACTATGTGGTATGGAGGTCGTCCATGGATAGGAAAACTTTTTTATTTTCCATCTGTCAATTTGACATTACAATTATTCTTATCTACATCCTGTTATTGAAGATCTATTGTTCGTCTCTTCTTATCGTGCACTTGGCGTTGATCATCGGCGCAAATTAATTCTACGTTATGAAGGTAAGCTGCCAATGACGGTATGTTTTGTGTTAATTACATCGAAAAGAAATGAGAGAGAAATTCCACAATTATGTATGGAAGACCAAGTCTCTATACTTATAACATTGTATTGTATACAAAACACCTTTTACTCCTTATAACATCCTAGGCATTGCGTCATATTATATAATGTACACACGAATTATAAAGCATATTGTACCGACTGTAGGCGGCACCATATCACAGAACACGTTACTTTTAATCTTAACAAAGTTAAACAGTGCATCACTTTTACTTCTACATGGCAATGTATTACTCATTATAATATTTTATACACATGATACAGTCCAACATACCACGATACACAACAGCGTATAACAATAAATATTACAATATTTGTTACTGGCTATTTTTGGTATTGAAACCTGTAGGTTGTAAATAGGTGGCAGACAAGATGGGAACAATAGAAACACATTTTCAACGGGAATTTTGTCCAGGCAAAAAAATAGGAATAAGATTTCGTGTCAGTTTATTTTTTTTTAAATTTAATGCAGATGACTTTGTGACTAGACGGCAGGGTATTGTTGAAAATCAAAAATGTACCCGACGTGTTCCGGACAGAGTCGAGAACCTAACTGATTAGAAATATGGCCATCGATGTTTAAAAAACTATAAAATACATGAGTAATTTAATTATAATTCACAGATTCGCCTGCGGTCAGTGTCTTACTGACCAGGTAGACCAGATCGCTAATCAGTTTATCTAATGAAATAGAAAATAATTTGAGTTGCAAAATCTTCTATGGTAATGCATATTAAAACATTACACATGGTAACAACAGTACAAAATAGAAGATACACATTATGTACGTGAATGAGGATATGATAATTCAGCACTTAATAGCTCAGATACATTAAAATGTATTGTATGAAGAACTGTAAGAATTATAACCATTATATAAGAACTCAAATTAAAGCTAATCGATGTACATTTTCACTGTTTTTATATAACTTTTTTATCACTTATCTTCAATGTGATAATAGCATCGTTCCCATACAAATCATCATGGGTATTACTTTTCTTGTGAATAAGCGACTACACCGATTGACTATTATATTTGCCATCAATTTATACAAAAATACATTCATTTCATTTCGAAAATACATTTCAGTAAATTAAGTCTCGATTTTAAATGATATCATCTATTTTTTTTACAAAAGTATCAAAAGTCACTGTAGATAATATCAAAGTCTACTTAAATTGAGAGAAATGTTCGTAATGTTGATCTAGAATTACATTAATACCTTGTCGACAAGTCCACTATTTCCAAAGAAAAGAATGACCTTATCTGCAAAGACTTGCAAACACAGAGCACTTCAATCAGTTTTTAGGTGTTTGTCAATTTCATAAAAAAAAAATGTAATATTTTTAATCGACATACTATTGATATACTTTTGTGTGTTATTTTCAGGTAATGTCTGTTCAGGTTTTGGTGTGTTTCCTGATTGTTGGTCTATCTGTGACATTGGCATTCCTTATTGAAACCGTTAATAACTATGACGATCCAATGGATTTTTCATGCCAAGGAAACAAGACTTTACGGCACCTGTCTAGTCACCACAGCAACCACCATGAGGACAGAGTATGGTCGATGGGTTGCTATGATGCCGTAGCAATGGTTCATAACTGCCAGTGGACAGGTACATGTAAACAAGATTGAATGTGTTTTATATAAGCGATATAATTTTTTATCAATTTCTTAGACTCAAAAACTCATACCTATCTATTCGTTTGCTATATAAATTGTTCCTTTTAAGTAGCCGGCTGATCATCCCTCCTTATGATTGGTCATATACAGAGTCCGGTGTATCACTGGTGTTCAAAAACACCCAAAAAACAAATTACATAAAAACACACGTACACGTTGTCGCAATAAAGTTACCGAGTACAAAATAGTGAAACAAAACTAGACAAAACTCGTTTTTATAATATCAACTAATATTATCTTTACATCACCTCATCAATGCTGATTTTTTAATCTACGACCTTTGTGTATATCTGTTACTATTGGCTGTGAGTATGATTACAAATTAATAAGGCCTATTTGTATTTGTTAAATATTGCTGAATGAAATTATGTCAAATGTTTGTCTTTAAGGGAAAAAAATGATTTTTTGATTTATTATACTTTTTGCCAGTGAAATATAGAAAATTATTAATTTTTAGAAAATAACTTATATCCTCACTGCAGTGATATACCAGTGATATTACTTTCGTACTTTCAACCAGGGCGGTGCTTCGTTCTCACTACGTGAATTATCGCACTCGTGAACAATACAGATAGTATGAATTTCTTGTGAAATATATATATGATATTAAACGTTCGAGTGATGATATAACGTAGGTTGAATAAGTTCGTTTTCCATCAAAACATTCACTTGTACAATTCTTTTTTTCTCTTATTTACTATGAAAATAGTTTTGTAAGCGATTTCTACCAGATAACAGCATAAAATGGTAGAATACGACCTGATGTTAAGGTCGGCTTTTCTCATTTGTTTTTATTATTATTATTTCAAAGTGTAATAAAATGAAAAGGACAAATTATTTATATATCATTCGTGCTTTCCACTCGTGAAAAATATAGATATTTTGTCATACTCGTGAAATATATATGTTATAAAACAGGGGACCATTACATATCGTCTATATACCAAACAGTTTAAAACTGAGGATATTTCCACAAACGTGTGTCTGGAGCAATTAAACAGCCTGGGGAAGATACAGAGAAAAATAACTTATGGAGGTCTGTCCCGTTTGATTCTGATAGTGCTTTTATAAAGTTAAATAAGAGGAATACATTCCTTTACTGTCATATGGTGAATAACATGTGTATGATGAGATCTGGTATTGAGCATGGGATCAGCAACATCGGCACGCTTCTTTAAAGTGTGGTAATATATGGTAGGGTTTTTCCGACGTCGCCACCCGTGGCAAGAACATTGAGATTGGTACAACAATCAAACCGTGCGCAATTCAATTCGAAGGGTAACCTACCTAATATGAAGAACATTGAGCAGGATTCTGATAATCAGAAGACTGGCGGCTGCTGTGAATGGACGTTAGATAATTATAACACATCATTTTACTAACTTAATGATAGCACTTCTTGGCTATTTTACGAAATAATATTACACTTTTATTTAATGTCAATGCATTTCAATACTTTTCCAAAATGTTAATTGAATCCTTTCCGAAATTCCAATATGGAGGATGTGATTATTGATTTGGTGTGGAATTACCATTCTCAATCTAACAACAGGCTACGTCAACGATTTTGATCAACCATTTGACTTCGAGTGTCCTGGGGAGGGGTTCATCAACGGCGTTCGTAGTATCCATGACAACGGGCATGAGGATAGACGTTGGGCATTTCAGTGTTGTACGATGCAAGGTAAGTATTAACTGGAGTCACACTAACAGCATTCTCAGTACTTGCTTCTGTCACTCAGAATATTAGGAATATTTCTTCATTATTCTTAAAATATATTCAAATGAGGATTTAATTGTGAATTTTCGGTTTAAATTATTGAAATGACAACTGATAAGCTGATCAAACAACTGTTGTTTTGTTTAAAGTTTATAGTATTGATTTTTAAGGTCGCATTAGACAAGACTGTCAAGACACGGGGTTTGTGAACAGCTATGATGGAGGTCTATCGGTAACTACAGACCATAATAACAAGAACTTCCATGGATGGATCAGTATCCATGACAACGACCATGAGTATGCTTAACATTGCAATAGAGTCTCCCAATGTCATTTGTATGAAAACGATTCAATACAGAAACTCAAGACGAATTATTTTATCATCAATACATGTTCACCATTCATGAATGCCATGACATGACAGACATAGTATTGTTCAAACTCATTTTAATGATATTCAAAACCTGGGGAAATGGAAACAAATGACATTGGAAATACCTGACAAACTTTTGAATGTGGATATTATATGGGATATTTAGAAAATATCAGAAGTTTCGAATACAAAACACAGGATTTATATTAATTGCAAGTTTTACCTGATAATCAAAGTTTTAATTTAAATGTTAAGATTTTGAATATGAAAAGTTTTTCAGCAATTCTACGAAGGCTAAACACGACATTTGATACCCCGGTATGACATAATTTGAAACTGCAATATGACTTCAAGGTTATATATTCACACATAACACATCAAGAGTAAAAAATGTTGACACGTGACATGTACTATGTAAAGTTTACTCGTGGGATAACACGTACATTTTACATAAAATGCTGACACATGACATCTACCACGTAAAATTTACTCGTGGGTTAACATGTACATTTTACATAAAATGTTGACACGTGACATGTACTATGTAAAGTTTACTCGTGGGTTAACACGTACATTTTACATAAAATGCTGACACCTGACATCTACCACGTAAAGTTTACTCGTGTGTTACTCGTGTGTTACTCGTGTGTTAACATGTACATTTTACATTAAATGTTGACACATTACATCTACTTCGTAAAGTTTACACGTGGCTTAACACGTACATTGTACGTACAGTGCTTAGAAATCGCACCTTCCACATAGTCACATGTTGATACATCTACCATGCAAAGTTTTCTTGTGTGTTAACTCATGCATTTTAAAACGCCTAGAAATAGTAGCTTCCACATGAAGTATTCTCTTACATAAAATGCTGGCACATAAAATCTACAACGTAAAGTTTACTCGTGTGTTAACATGTACATTTTAATTGATATTTTACATGAAAATAAGACATCATTACATATTAACATTTCTTCATTTTCATTCATTCTCTTCTCTTTTTTTTTCTAGGGATCGGATTTTTGATTTCCAGGTGTGTGATTATGTGGAAGGTGAAACCAACGTGGTTTGAAATGGTGTATTGTACAATTTGCAAGACATCTGAAAAAAAAATTGAAATAGAACATTTAACTGTATTTGTTTTGTTGTTGTTATTTTAAAGTTACATCCACGATCCATTTACATATCCTTATCCTAAGTCCTCCTTTCAAATTTAAGCTTTAGTTAATCAGACCACAAGAAAACATACCATAAAGAATTAAATGTATTGTAAAATGTATAATTAGGAACAATAATCACTCCTACCTTATCTCCTCTAATTTTCTTTTTTTTAATTTGATACGAGAACACAAGTCCAGGCTGATTCGTCAATGCGATAATGCTGTGATAGCGCATTTATCAGGTAACCCCCATCCAACCCTTAAATGGAAATATAAATAAGCAAATTAAGAAGAATAGAAACATATAAACATAACAATCATTCAGAATACTTAACAAGTGTTCCAGAAGGGAGAGCGTGTTCAGCTTCATTTACAACACTTGCGAAGTATTTCTAATCCAATCTCAGTAATGTAATTGATCTGCTAATGGTCAGCTAGTGGTCATCTGTCGATATCTGGTAATTGTGATACTAGAAAGAAACCCTGGATAACCGAATTATCAACTGTAACAAATATTAAATACAAATGTTCATCCTTTGAAACGTTTGTTTGTTTCACAGGTTTTTCTTTCTTTCTTTTATACTTTTTTTTCCGATAACTGAAAATACTTTTAAATGTAACAGTCTGTTGAAGATTGTGCAAAAGATAAAGTCTAGAGTACTTCTTTCAGAATCATGAATTACATACAGTGGAGTCACATACTTATTTAAATTGAATCCTGCAGCTGTTTCTCCTTTCTAGGAATCGACATTTGGAACCTTGGGGGCAACTAAGAAAATAATAATTTATCGAAGTTAGATGAGGAAGTGCACATGCCACATAATCTGATAAGTAGTAATGAGTTAATAAATAATTCTCATTTCTCTGAAAACTACAGAAGAACGTCATGCCCATGTTAAATACCAGTAAGTAATTGAAATATTTATTCGCAAATACAGTTAGTCGAGCTTCCTGAAACAAAGATTCGTGAGCTAATGGAAGTAATATGGGGAGAGAAGAAAATCCCAGGTAGCTGGATCATTCAGTAAGCGAAAATGGGAAATCTCATGAAATGTAAGAATTCTATAGCAATCACATTGCTTTCTGTAGTTGGAAAACTACTCGGAAATTAAAGATGTTAAGAAAATTCATTCTTGTTATTAGGGACAGCCAAGGGAACTATCAAAACTGGTCTGGTATCGAAGGAAAACGAAAGGCACCATGGAAATGAAAAGCTTAGTACCTATAGATTTGCTTTTGTAATGTGTCTAGTCTTTGTTTATCTGTGACGGTGTCGTGATCAACCGATATACATTTATCTGTCGAAGTACAAATTATGACATATATCCTGTACATGTCTCTTATCCCTGCCAGTGCCTTAGAGATAATGGCTATATATGGATGATTCTCATTTTTTTTTTATTTTATCGTATTTGCTGGCACTTAGTGCAATAGTACTTTGTATTAGTAATACCCCCATAAGTGACATCTAACGTAAATTTTGTACGTTGTTCAGGAAGAGTGTAGATCTGTCCTCGACGTTGTCCTTTAACAGCGAAAAGGAACCCTTTATATAAAGACAGATTCCGTCGACTGTTTCAATTACACAAGACGTTGCACAGTCAGTGAAAATTTCTGGTGCAGTTCTACATCATAATGGTAAGATATCACTTTAAGTTTTAATGTAAAATGGTAAAAGCCTATTACAGTATACATTACTGTTATTCATGTTATTCAACACCTGAGAATATAATACAACACACATCTAGCACAAATCATCATAGCAGAATGCTTATAACATCTAATATTCAATATTCTATCAGTACCCAGTATAACATATTAAAATATTCACTCAGACCATCTGCAGTGATCAATCTACTATTCATTTTTCTCATTCCTTTTCAACTTTATTGCTGAAAACAGTGGGTCTCTGAAGTATTTCCAGAAATCCGATCAAATTTCTTTGATTACATGACTCGGGACTCGAGTGTAGATTTATCACTGCTTTCCTTACAATTCATTATATAACATTCTATCACAATATAAATATAAAACTGCATATTCAACAATATGATTCAAAGATACAATATGATACAACGGTACAATATAATACAATGATACAATATACTACAACTATACAATATACTACAACTATACAATATACTACAACTATACAATATACTACAACTAAACAATATAATACAACTATACAATATACTACAACTATACAATATACTACCACTATACAATATACTACAACTATACAATATAATACAACTATACAATATACTACAACTATACAATATACTACAACTATACAATATAATACAAATATACAATATACTACACCTATACAATATAATACAACTATACAATATACTACAACTATACAATATAATACAACTATACAATATACTACAACTATACAATATAATACAAATATACAATATACTACACCTATACAATATACTACAACTATACAATATAATACAACTATACAATATACTACAACTATACAATATAATACAAATATACAATATACTACACCTATACAATATACTACAACTATACAATATAATACAACTATACAATATACTACACCTATACAATATACTACAACTATACAATATAATACAACTATACAATATACTACAACTATACAATATACTACACCTATACAATATACTACAACTATACAATATACTACAACTATACAATATACTACACCTATACAATATAATACAACTATACAATATACTACAACTATACAATATACTACAACTATACAATATACTACACCTATACAATATACTACAACTATACAATATACTACAACTATACAATATACTACAACTATACAATATAATACAACTATACAATGTAATACAACTATACAATGTAATACAATATACTACAACTATACAATATAATACAACTATACAATATAATACAACTATACAATATACTACAACTATACAATATAATACAACTATACAATATACTACAACTATACAATATACTACAACTATACAATATACTACACCTATACAATATAATACAACTATACAATATACTACAACTATACAATATACTACAACTATACAATATACTACAACTATACAATATACTACAACTATACAATATAATACAACTATACAATATACTACAACTATACAATATAATACAACTATACAATATAATACAATATAATACAACTATACAATATAATACAACGGTACAATATACTACAACTATACAATATAATACCACTATACAATATAATACAACTATACAATATAATACAACTATACAATATACTACAACTATACAATATACTACAACTATACAATATAATACAACTATACAATATACTACAACTATACAATATACTACAACTATACAAATAATACAACTATACAATATACTACAACTATACAATATATACTACAACTATACAATATACTACAACTATACAATATACTACAACTATACAATATACTACAACTATATACAATATACAATATACAATACAACTATACAATATACTACAACTATACAATATTCTACACCTATACAATGTAATACAATATACAACTATACAATATACTACAACTATACAATATACTATACAATATACACAACTATACAATATACTACAACTATACAATATATATACAATATACAACTATATACAATATACTACAACTATACAATATACTACAACTATATACTACAATATATACAATATACTACAACTATACAATATACACAACTATACAATATACTACAACT